TAAATATGTAGAAAGCCAACAAGAGCAATAACTGCGCTACACAAACACATGCACACGCTGTGCCGGAGATACACACACGCACATGCACACCCTGGAAAGTGCATAAAAATTAAGCAAACGGCACTTGTAACTGGCAACAAGAAGGACAGCAACAAGAACAGCAACAATGGCAGCGCCAGCAACAATAGCAACAGCAACCACACACAAGCGTCTTCTAACTGGTGCACTGAGAAAAAGAAGGATTGAGAACAAAGAACTATGTGAGATCGTTGTTATTTCAGTATGATCTACAGTAAAGTCAAAATTCAATTGTTGCAATTTTTGTAATATACAATTTCTTATTATTTTTCGTCTTATCTTTACTTATTTTCGTTCATCAATGAAAATTTTCTCATTCTTTACTCTCTCTTAAGATGTTTTTATACCCGTTACTCGTAGAGTAACAGGGTATATTGTATTCGTGCAAAAGTATGTAACAGCTAGAAGGAAGCGTTTCCGACCCCATAAAGTATATATATTCTTGATCAGGATCACTAGCCGAGTCGATCTAGCCATGTCCGTCTGTCCGCCTGTCTGTCCGTCTGTCTGTCTGTCTGTCTGTCTGTCTGTCTGTCTGTATGAACGCTGAGATCTCGGAAACTATAAAAGCTAGAAGATTGGCATTTGCATGAATATTCTAGGAGCTCCTACGCAACGCAAGTTTGTTTCAAAAAGGTGCCACGCCCCCTCTAACGCCCACAAGCCCCCTTTAACGCCCACAGTTTTGAAGCTATTATGAAAATAGTAACTGATATGTATTCGCTTCGTCAATACCTATCGATTGGCCAAGTAAAAAATTGCCACGCCCACAAACCCAATAAACGCTTAAGCCTGGCCAGCGCCTACATATCCGCCTTTCATGACCAGTAGTACCAATATCTGGCGGTAGATGGCGCAATACAATATACACTAGCTCCATCTATGAAATGGCATTGGAAAAAATCTGCGTTTTTTTCTGTGGTCACTCTAATTCACATTATGTTAATGCAAATTTTAAATTATTTGAAATGGGGCGCGCATTTTGTCTCGTATACGTATACGTTTTTCACAAGTGCATTTACCTGCGCTAGAGAGAGACGGAAGATGTGCTAGGCAGAACTGAAAGTTCTAGAAAGCCTCTTCTAGAAAGAGATCCCTGGGTAAAAATCGAGCGGCGAAAAACATATAAGAAGGCATATTTCTAATAAGTTGTTTAGCTGAGTAACGGGTATCTAATAGTCGAGGCACTCGACTATAGCGTTCTCTCTTGTTTTAACTTTATCTATGGTATATCATTTATTTCTACAAGAAAAAAAAGATATTTATTGAGTTTAAAGATAATTAAATGAATTTCAATCAAAATAAAATTTAAACAACTTTAGCTGGAAATCAAAATTGAAAATGTATTCCAAACTCATGAAACTGTAACTATTGGTCCATTAAATTTTGGGTAAAAAACAATCAAGTCCCCTGAGGGATAGCTAAACTAAATAAAGCATTTAATAAAATTACTTACCTGTAATATATATTTTTATTCACGCCAATGTCTATGAAATTAAATCCCAAGGGCTTCTCTCTAAAAACATATTTATCTTTTTTCTCGGTGCTTATCTCCAGTTCCCAAAATGCAACAGTCGACAGGACGGGCTGGCAACTTCCGCTGGCGTTCAGCGTCATGCCGGCTGCACATCCCCAGCCCCGAGTTCCGAGCTCCGAATCCCAAGCCCACTTTCAGACCCAGATCGTAACAAAAACCCTAACCCAAGCGCGGACGCCCTTCGGGCAGGAGAGCAACTACAAATGCAGCAACTGCAAAACTTTTGCCAGCAAGTTTGAGTTTTTTTCTTCCGCCCCGCTCTGCCGTTCGTGCTTGGCCAAGGGCTGCCGGCTGGCCTGCCTTTTTGCCTCATCTGCGCTATTGCAACTTTGCCAGCTGAAACTTTAAGCCAGGTCCTATCTCTGGGCCAAGTCTCGAGCGTTGTCGCTGCTGCTTCGTACGTGTTTGTGTTCATTACGTACGTGTCCTTTTTGGCATTTTGCGCTAGTTGTCAGCGCCAAAAGCTGCTGGCCAAAAGAATAAGCTGCACTGACACGATAGCGGACTTCCAGCCCATCTACAGTCGAACATCCTTAGTTCTCGGTAAGGGTTCACATTTTGAGTTCTTAAACTGCAAATGAAGTGTAGTGCTTTTTTTAGGGTTTGATTTTCATGGTTTTTATATTTTTATTTATTTATTTTTTTTTTACCCAATTGGAGTTTCAATTTAAAGAGTTTTCCCTGTATATGTGCTTCAAACTGCAACTGCAAACCGAATCGTTGAAATCTGAGTGCGCTAAAGAGTCGTATTTTTGATGGCGTAGAGAATTCGCAGAAATATTGAGCTGCTCTTTCATTAACTGAAACCTTAGGCGAAGTCTTGCCCGTTCGGAACTTTAACTTGCCTGCACTCATTTTGCGTAATGATTTCAATTATTTCGTAATTAGTGCAGACAGGCAGCAGCAGTTTTCCAGGCAGGTCCTTTCAGGACCCCCCCATCTGACTGCCTGACTACCAGGCCACCTTACCACCCTCAACCCGCCTGTCAAATGTCCATGGCTGCAGCGGGCACCACAATGCGGCATCAGATTCGAAGGCAACGAAAAGTGCACTTGGCCGCAATTTGCAAAAAGTCTTTACAAAGTCGAAGTTTTCCTGGCCGGTGGACACTCATCTTTTGTGTCCTGGCGAAGTCCATTGAATGGGGCACCCCCGGCGGTGTCAACAACTTCGCAATGAGTTTGTTTGCTGCCAGGAGCTTTAAGTACTCCTACTCACCTGCTTATTTTTTGCCCATCTTTTCTTTTTTCCTTGCCGTGATGTTAACGCGCTTTTACGAGCTGTCTCACCTGCAGCACTTTAATGAATAGCGTTCAGGTTGATAAACACCTCGATGGCATCTGGCCACAAGCCACAGCAGTTAAGCTCGATTGCAGCGGCACACTGATGAAAATCGGGATTACAGTAATCGATGAAGGACCTTTTAAAAATATTTATCTAGAAATATACTGCAAGAAATAAGGATAATAAAGAGCACATCCTTGAAATCACTTTAAAGAAATCTTAACTTAACGTAAATCAAGTTGAAAAAGCATGAAGTTCGGTGTATAAGCATGTAGTTGGGGCTTAGCAAAAGCCATGGCCATAAGCCCTTAATCATTTAAAGCAATTTGCACACTCTCAATGCAATTCAATTAAAAGTTACCCACACACAAACACACACTCGAAGACTCTAATGCGGGCAACCGATAGATACTTGGGCCAACACTCATTTCTGTTTTAATACTTTTAATACCTTTTGAATTGCTTGCCCAAAGTTCGCTCGGTGCGGCTCAAGGAGACTTCAAAAATTGATGCCCAAGCAAACAGAGCAGGATTTTGGTCCTGCTGCCTGGTGAATGCCGGCCCCCACTCATGTGGCATATTAACTGCCCCCCAATACCGGGGATCTCCTGGGTGGTCCCCCGCCCCTGATTTCCCCCAACGATTGCCAGAGTGCCACTCGATATTTATTCGATTTATGGAATTTTTTGGCAAAAGAATTTTTTAATAAAACGAATTTTATTGGCATTATCCTGCAGCTATTGCCATTGCTGTGTGCCAGGGAGGAAATTAATAATGCTACTAGGCTAATAAAGGCCCGAGCACACAGGCACGCACCTCAGCCACATGTGTGTGTGTGTTTGAGTATGAGAGTAGATATATCGATGATGTGACACATTTGGGACACTCGTCCTTTTGGCTTCCTCCCGCTTCATTTGCCGTTTGCCAGAAATTGAAAAGTTCCCCGAGTGCCTTTATTATTATTTGCATGGCCCGACTGCTCCAGTTGACGCTATTTAATTTGTCATTATTCCGAACTTTGCTGGCAGCCCAAATCTCCACTCACTTTCCAGACAGATTTTGTAATTCTTTTCTCCTTTTATTATGACGCTGCCGCAGGACATTTCCTACGGGGCCAACAGGAAATTAAAAGTGTTGGTAAACATTATTCTGGGTATACTTGTGCTGGAATCTACAGTACGTTTCATAATAGTAAGGATGTTGGATGGGAAAAAACCATTAAATTTATTGCGATTGGCGGAATACCGAACTATTAAAATAAAATAAAAGTGAATTTAAGGAAAACAACTGTTAAATTAATCTAATTCCTACTTAGAAATAAAAAAGGCACATTTAAAAATTTATGATACGGCTTTGAGGACTTTCTGAATGAAACATGATTATTAAGAGTATATATATTTCGAAATTGTACCAAACAAAAAAATAAATTTGAGAAAGATATAAAATGACAAGAATTTTCATGACATAAAATCTTCACATTTTTCTTCGCACTTTAAAGATTTTCAAGTGGCAACTGTGGTTGCGGCCCATCGACTGATAGCTCTTGAATCGCACACCTGACTTTCGGCTCTTGAACACCCACCAGGCACTCGGCACTCCATTTTCCATCTGCAGAGAGCCACTGTTAATAAGCTTACTTGCAGCCAGAGACGGCGAAGGAAAAAATAATGGCAATGGGGGCCGGGATGGATCCGAAGTACCGAAATGTATTACACGAATTCCAAAATCCCCCACTTCACTGTGGCGCCCCTGGGTCCTGCATGATGTATTGATTTTTTGTTGCTGCTTCTTCTGGGCCATTTGTCGGCTTTGGCCTGTTCCGGCGTTGATAATGCCAATGCGTAATCCATCTCCTATGCCGCCGACCCATCGACAACCCAACGGCCACCCACCTTGGGGCGTGAGTGTGCACTTGAACTTTGACATTTCAATGCGCTGACATTTCGCCCAGCTCCAAACAAAACAGACGTGCGTGCGGTCAGCATTGTACTGAAAAGTTGGTCAATTTAGAGCCAAGTACCCCTAAAGTTAACATCCCCAGCAATGGGCATATCCCTTGACCATAAATAAAATATCGAATGCAGGCGCATATGCCTTTGATAAAACACAATTTTAATAACTTTGACATCAAGTATACATCGAGAAGTTGCATAAACACACATACACACGAAAATACTCAACTTACAAATACACATCAGGATAGACAGACATATGTGGGTACGCATATAGTTGCATACCGAAGCGTATTAGGTTTCAACTGCAGCATTGACTTAATGGCCCTTTCGTTCAGACCCACATGTACATATGTATATATAGTTGTTCTTCGAGTGGTTGTTGCTCTTGTTGTGGTTGTTTTGGTTTTTGGTTTTGGGTTGGTTTACTATTTACTATTTGCTAAAACTGTAAGTCCGTTTATTTACAAGAAAACTTTTCAAAAATTGAACCATAAATTTAGTATACTATATATGTTGCACCACTAGGTACGAATGCGTGTGGCATATAACTGCATATCATGTATCATGGCTGAAACTTTTGTGTTGCGGTTTTTTGGTATGTGTATGTGAATATGAGGAATATTAGCAACAAAAGTTTAACTTTCCGTTTTGAATTTATGCTAATTTTGCTGAATAAAGTTGGGTGAACCCGACTAATTAGCCGTGACGTCGGTGGCTTACCCTTTATGGTGTTATGCAGCTTTTTAAGGATTTCAATTTTCCGTGTCGTCATGGGTCTGTGGTGTAAATTCGTTAATTTTTTTTTTTGTGGTATATTGACTTTTATGTAAATGTGCTTATCCAATTGAATTAATTGAGCATCTTTCAGCTTAGGCTACAACTAAACACGTTTAACTAACACAGAATATGAAAGCGTAAGAAGTTCTTTGGACCCAGCCTATAACACCAATCACTATCTTCGATCTCCGATCACTAATCATTCAAATTACTTAGGGTTCTAGGGTTTCTAAACGTACTACGCTTGGATTTCTTTAAGACACAGGGAAGACATTAGAAATATATATATAAATTACATACGCATAACTTAGACTTAGTGAGTATCAGCTAGCATAATTCCAAGGTTCCGTTACTCGATTGGTTTCGGTTACACTTTTGTATTGTTTTTTGTTCGGGTTTTTTGTCTTTTTGGGGCACGTGTGTGTGGTGAGGAATTAGTTAATTAGTTACAGCTAGTTAGGATTGTCACTGCTAAAACATCGTCTCTACTCGCTAGTTGCTCCTTATAACAAAGCCAATTCCTTAGCATACTGCATTCCAGTCAATTCCGACCTTGGCTTCTTCTTTTCCTTGCCTGACCTTAATTACAAATACTGGTCCTCGTTATCCTTCAGTTGAAATCAAATTTTCGCACTGCGCGCACGGGCAGCAGCCTTTCGGCCAAAGAGAATCCTCTTGAAGGCCCGTCGAAATTCGGGATTGAAGATGGTGTAAATAACCTGGTATGACGACGAGGATTTTTAAAAGAAAAAATATTTTGGTCAATTGCGGAATTTCTTACATTATTTCTGCTTCGGGATTTAGATTTTTTTTTTTTTAATATTTAAGAACTTTTTTTTATTATTTTGAATATATTTTAAATGAATACTATTTATATGGGAATATCTATAATTTCTGTTTACTATTTGTGTGATCAAAATACGGTAGTTTACAAAAATTATAATAAGCAATCCAAGTCAGATTAAAAATAATTTAAATTTTAGATATTGATAATAAAACTTTGTTCTTGAAAATTACTAAGTTTCCAAGTTATAGGAAAAACTTGAAGCACCCTTTTAGCCAACAGAATGAGGCCAGAGGCAGGAACTAATTTACATACCGGATTCAGGGTCGAGTTGAAGTAGCCCAGCCAGAGAAATAGCGAAGCCACCGCCGTGTGGATCTCGCACTCCTTGCACAGGCTCATTGTGAGGGCCATCACGAAAAATGGCAGCCAGCAGATGACAAAGGCGCCCGTGATGATGGCCAGTGTCTGGGCGGCCTTCCTCTCCCTTTTGGCCTCCAGAAGCTGTCGCCTTTTAGCCAGTTTCTGGTGCGGATTGGCGATGCTGGCCAGCACTCCGCCCAGGCCCACTCCGGCATTCTTTCCCGGACTGCTGCCCTCGGTGCCGGCTCCCACCTCGCCACTTCCGCCCCCTCCACCTGCTGCTCCTGGCTTTTCCGAGGGCGAGGTCGTTGTCAGGCAGCCAGCACCACCCATGGCGATGGACTGGGCCAGCGGCGTTATGGCGTTCAGATGCGAGGCTATCAGATGGTGCTGCGTGGCATGGGCCACCTGCTGCGACAGCGTGATGATTTCATTCGCATTGCTGGTGCGGTACTAAGGGGTTAAGCGGGAGGGCAAAAGGGTTAATCTCACACGAACAAAGGGCGTGCGGCGAACAAATGACTATGACTATGCAGACCAGCTTCAGTAAGTCAACTTCTTAAAGATTATAAGTCCGAAAAAAATTTCTTTTCAAAACTATTTGACAATATTTCTTAGATTTGCAAAGGTTAACATAAATGTAAAATCTAAAAATGTGAGGTTTGAAATTCTAACGAAATAGATAAAATCAATTTAAAAAAAAAAATCTTATATTAAATTTTACGTTATGTTTATAAAGTTAATGTTAAAGTTAAATAAATAGCCTAATCCTTCAGAATTAAATTTATTGTTAAATTTTAGTTCTGTAAATTAAATTAAATATAAATAGGAAAACCAAATGAAATTAAACCTATATAGTAAATAAAATAGTAAAAAATGAGTAAAAACACGTCGTGTTAATAACACGTTTTACAAAAAAACACAAGTGAGCTGTGTGTGTTATTAATTATTTTTCACATTTTAACACGTTTGTATTTGTCAATTTCCGAACCCTGGCTAAAAGAATCCCTTGAATTACGATATGCAAAAATACCAATTGGATTTTACAGAAGCTCCACTGTAATGCCAAATTGCATGGTGAAACAATAGGCCTACTTACATCGTCTGCATCGCTGGAGACGGTGGTAAGTTCGGTGCCCGCGTGGCTTTTGTTGTCGTAGTTGCTGGTGCTGAACTCGGTCTCCTCGCGCGTAATGGCCAGGCTAGCAAAGTCCACGGCTATGGCGGCCATCGACCTGGCCACAGCTCCCTCCGATCCGGCTATAATATTGGCCGTGTTTGTGTTGCGGCCAAAGCATATACGCATCCGCTTGCGAGGACGCCGCTGCAGCTGCGAGTCCGCCGCCTCCCCGCCCACCGGGGTCCGCTCGCCCGCCTCCAGACGCTTCCGCTCCGCCCGCCGCTTGCCGCGCTCCTTCTTCAGCTCCCGCACCGTGGAATCGCACTGAGGGATTTTTGATAAAAATAAATACGTGCGAAAAGATAGTACTGGACTTGTTTACAACCCATACTTGTTTATGAACTTGATGAAAACTGTTCGGCGAAGCACATTTGGCTTGTGTCTTGTCAACGAAATAAAAACAATTCAAATGCATAATGTGAGTTTCTCGACGTTCCTATCGCATTAGTTACTCCACATGCACGGAGAAAAAATAACTATTGAAAGTTAAGTTAAATTTAAAATAAATGAGAATAAATGTATTATTATTCATTTATTACTATTTTTTGTAACTAGATTATTAACTGTTCATAAAACTATTTGAATATTTTTAGATTTGTTTTTCAACATATTACCCGTATAATTATAAAACATAATTTAGATGTAAAAATTTCAAATTTAGTAAAGCCTAGAACAAGAATTTAATTTGGAAAGCACATTTTGTAAAATAGCAAATTAAACCAGACATTGCATTATTAAAAGTGTAATTATCTGCCCCTAAACCAGGGCCACACTTTGGGGTGATCATAAATCTCGGTTGGCATTTGTTTGGCTTTCGCCGCAGCGGCTCGCTTCGAGTGCTCACTTGGGCATGCTAATGAGCAGCTGAGGACTTCCCCCGACCACCCACTACCAACTACCAGCCTCCCACCTCCGAACTACCTCTTCCCATCCACATTCGCATTATTGTTTCTGTTAATGACACACTCATTATGGCAGGCAAGCAAATACACTTCTCGAACAGCAGCATCAACATCCACTCAGCCAGCCCAAAAAAAAACAACCCATAGAAGGCAAATAGCTGCATACTTGGGGAATATCTTTACTTTGTGCCACTGGGCGTATGGGTAATTTTTCCACTCTGCCTTGGAGGCTGGCTAAGTGGACACTTGGCATTTATCACTTGGATTTTGTGAGGCACTTAGCTTCAACTGAGATTGCCTCGTTATTGATTAACTTACGTCCGTCTCGGTTAGTGTGACATTGAAGGACTTCTGGGCGCGTCGCTGAATGCGCTTCCTGGCAATTATGTAGATTTTCCAGTACAGAAACAGGATCACCAGCAGCGGCACATAGAAAGTGCAACAGGTGGCAAATATCTATTAGATTAAAAATAAGTTATAAGTAAAGCGAATGCAAGTTATATGTTATAGAATATTTTGATAATTTACTTTTATCATTTTGATACTCCTGTCTGTTTTTATCTAATCTTATAGTAATAATATTCTGGAAGCTTTTAAGTAATACGTTTTTATTAAATATTTTGAAATAGTAATTTTAAAAAAACCTAATATTTAATTTTTGATTTAAAATATTTATTTATTTAATTTTATTGTTACTCTTCACATTCGAAGTCACTCTATTTAACCTACATATCTTGAATGCTCTGATAAATGGGAATTAACACCCTCTTCCACATCTCACAAATGCCAGACTGCATTTAACTCCACAGGCCAAAGATTACTGCAATCAGCATTGCTTACCTGATAGCCCACATCCTGCGACACCATGCAGTGCTGCTCCTCGATGCGCTTCATGTAATCCGGATCCTTCCAGCCAAATTGGGGGGCCAAGGAAACAATCAGGGCCGCAAACCAGACGCAGAAAATCATGAGGAATACGCGACGCGGCGTCCGCAGGTTGTTGTAGTCGATATTGGTCACGGTCCAATATCTGCAACGGAAGGAGGTCCAAATTGCCATCGGTTACATCTGTTACACCGGGAAATGGCTGGCTGGCTGACTGGCAGCACTCACCTGTCCGCCGCAATGGCCACCAGGTGCAGAATGGATGCTGTGCAGCAAAGGACATCGCAAGACGTCCAAATGTCGCACAGTTCCGGTCCCAATATCCATCCATTACTTATCTGCAGCCGGGGAGTTTTCCGGTTGGGGGTGGTGGCATAAAATAGAACGAAAGGAATGAAGAGAAAGGAGTGACATTTAGCAACACATTGTTTGCCAGTGATGATGCAATTGAAACAATTAGTCGCCCGGCAAACGAGGTTGCCCCGGGCCAGTGTCAACTCTTTGGCGCCTAATTTCATTTGCCAGCATTCCTGCTCAAGTTTCCATTAGGGTAATCGAGTTGCTTCGGCGATGGTAGTGGCAGTACACAGTGCAAAAATATGAAAGGTGCTTTAAACGGGCAATTTAAATAATGAAAGCTAAATTTAAAGGGGTTCTGCTAAATAATTGCTTCAGAAATTTTTAAGAATCTAGCTCAAACTTTGGCGAAACCTACTTATTTGTGATTTTAGTTTTCTTTAATTTATTTTATTTATACTCAGTACTTATGACTAAAAAAACTCAATCGATTTAAACTATTTAGGTTTGTTCTGAGCCTTATTTGCTAGGTATAAAAAATTTGGTGCTAGAAAAATTATAATTAATTTAAATAAAATTAAATAAAGCATTCCGTCCAATTCTTTTTCACAATTTATCCTCTAATAATTTTTCTAAATTCAGGGCTACTTTTTTTCTTACCGTGTGAAGTGAAAGAGAAGGACTACTTACCTCGTAGACGGCGCCAAGCGGCATGACAAGACAGGCAACAAATAAATCAGCCACTGCCAGAGATGCAACCAAATAATTGGCAACATTCTGCAAGTTTCTCTCGAGTATAATGGCGGCAATTACGAAGACGTTGCCTGTGGACAGTAAAAGCAGAAAACAGGAACCCCATTAGAAAGCGATAAATTGATAAATTAATATATATTAAGTGAGGCGGCAAATGCAGAGCAGCACTAAGCTTTCCGCTTCAATGCCGATGAATAAGTAAGTGAATTCGAATGCAGTTAATTGGAAACGTTGAGTGGCCAGAATCATTAACTTTTGTGTGTATTTTCTGGCCTGTGGGTGAGTTGGGAATGCAAAACTTCCAAAGGAGTCGGGCAAAATCAATCAGTGGCAAAGGATTCGTGTCAAAGGAGACTTCAACTTTCAGCCTAATTGCAGGCAATCGTGCATGTGCCTCACTTGTCCGCCTCCCACGTAGCCGGGTCTCCTTTTCCCCGGAACTCTTTGGAGTGTCTCCTCGCCTGTGGGATGCAAATGAGAACTGGGTGGCTGCCAGCTCCATCATCGCCATCATCATTGTCGTTGCTTGCTTTGATTAAGCGCATGCAACTTGGCAAATTGTAATTGCCGCACTGCCACCCCATCTCACCCCCTTTTTTGCCACGGCAGCCGGAGTGACGCCAGCCCCTTTGGAACCCCTCCCCCCCCTCGAAACCGGAGCTGCTGAGACAGCGTGCTTGTCTGCAGGTTGTCAAAACGTTTTGTCGTCGCTTGGCCCGTGCCAGAAAACGCATTTGCATATGTCTTGCCGGGGAAATGTTGCGCATACGACGTGTGTTCGCAACGGCACATCAACCTGTGTTTGTGTGTGTGTATTAGCACGATGCAAAATTTTGCCGAAATTAGCGATTAGTTAGGTATTGAATTATGACGGAATATTTAGCTTTGTGAACATTAAGAAGCTTATATTGTGGTTTTAAGCTTGAGCTAAATAAAGTTAGGCTAAATAATTCGGATAAATTGGTCTTACTTTAATATTCTTTGGAACTTATACCATTTTATGTTCGACTAGCTTTGCTAATGTACCTTTGTATGAACGGATATGCTATGTTTTTTAGCTTGAGTGAAATATGCAACACGATATTTTGAATGTCAGTATATTGCTTTTTAAATGCTCTAATTAAAATAGAGAAACCGCACAAAGCTTGTAAAATTCATTTTGAGTGAAATATTAAATTGCTTTATCAAATATTAAAACGCTTAATTAGTATGTGAAAACCACGTTACAATCAACTGCAATATGATATTTTCTGTTGTCTGCTAATAACACACCGCCCATTTGAAATTCAATATTCCTTTTCAAATTTTCTAACTAAAATAGTAAAAGGGCATACGCCTTGTAAATCTCATTTTGAGTAAAATATGCAACTACATATTTTCTGCGCTAGTATATTGCCCTTCCGAAAAGTAATAAAGCATAATTAGTATGAGCAAACCACGTTAGTATCAAGGCAATATGCTGTTTTCTGTTCTCTGTTAATTACACACTGCCCATTTGAAATTCAATATTCCCTTTTTAAATGAGTTTTCAGTAAATGCACATAATTGGGCTGAGTTCCTATATTTGATAATATGAAATATGAAACATGAAATAAAGGCTTTTCACAAGTACCAATTGCTTTTTGGTTCCTTGCACGAAATAAATGAAGTACATTTCCTTTTTAAAGGGGAAAATGAGGAAATATACCGTATCAAATTTATTGAACAATGCATTTCCTTGTAGTCTCAAAAAAGTATTAAATAATCACCTTTTAAACAAATTTAAATTAAAACAAAAAAATATTTGTTTTTAAATTAAAATTAAAGTTTTTCGGAATAAAAAATTTTCAAAAAGTCAGGCCGAATACTTTTTTACTATACAGTGTAAACCTACATCGTGTGCCAAAAAGACTGTGTGTGTGTGCTCGTCGTAATTTGCATTTGACGCCTTGGCGCCGTTTTAATAGCTTTTCACGTGCCGCGGCAAACATTTTTGGAAACTTTGGCTCGTTTTTTATTTGGCTGGCATCTTTGCGGCGCTTAACTCAAAGAACTCCTCGTTCATCATCCGGCCAACCAAAACAATCAGCCGCCCCTAAGCACCCGACACCCATCCAAGGACCTATTCGCAGGCCCATTTCTTAGAGCAGGCGGCAGCAAATCATCTTTGTAAGCCCAAAAATCAATAAAAATCTTCCAAGGGGCGCAATAAAAATCTTCTGCATCATAAATTTCACTTCATTTACAGTTGAGTTTTCGTCGGCGATATGGAAACTTTTGCCGGCCTTATCCCGGCGGCATAAATTTGAGAATAATTTAATGTCCATGGGCATGGCCATGGTAATTTAAATTTGGATTTGATTTTGATTAAGTACTTGCCTATGATGGTGACGAGTATCATGAGTCCCAGGACGACGGCCATGACGATCATTTTGACCAGTAGCCAGAACTCGACCGTCGCCCGTTGTTCGGCGTCCAGGTCGAAAATGTTGCCGTTGCCATTACCGTTTTCCGTGCGATTCCAGACGATTTGGCTGAGATTGCTGGTCGTGTCCACCAGCTGGGTGAGATTGCCATTCAGCTCGATGAAAAGGCTCTCGTTGAGCAAAATGGCTGGCAGTTCTATTTCCAAAATGCTCGCTGGAATATCGTCGTCGTCGGCGGCAGCCATTGCTGTTGTCACAGTTTTCAACATCTCGTGTGTATATATCTGACAATTTATATATATATATATGTGTATTATGGGTTGGGGGCGTAACAATGTATGTGACTATAGCGCGATGTGTTGCTGCTTCTGCTGCTGGTGATGTTGCTGCCGTCGCAGCTGTTGCTGTTGACTCTGTTGCTGCTGCTGATTTTGCTGTTGCTGGCGTGCTTGTCGTTCGTGTTGCTGCCGCTGTTGCGGGTGATAAAGCGCCTTAATCGTGCTTGCCAAGCACTTAACACGTAAACTGCAAAACATAGGGTGGTTCGAGAGTCAATGGGGAGTCAGAGATGAATGGCAAACAATGGGAGAGCAGTCTATGGAAAACAAGAAATAAAAGCCTTAGACGAAATCATAATGTACCGCCCTAAAATAACACAATTTCCCTTTTTATTTTTTATTTCCCCAGTGAAGCCGGGTGCCGTTCGAATTAAGTCCACACCATGATAAATGATGCTCGTCTCGACGCGCTCAGTTTACCTCGATTCCAGCAATTAATTAATCATTTCAATCGAGCGAACTCTTTCACAAGTTTTTTACAAGCTGCCAACCCAGTGTGAGCCCCTTGACCCCCGGATCCTTATCTCGATTGAAGCTGGAAAAATTCCGCACTTATTAAAAACTAATTTTAAAATTCTTCAAAAAAATGTAAGCCACTTTGACGCTGGGTCTCCTAAGTGTTTCTTGTTTCGTTAGAAGCTGGGAAAATTACACTCTAATTAAAAACTATTTTTAAAATTCTTGAAAAAAATCTAAGACTGAGCTTCCTATCTCGATTGAAGTTGGGAAATGCTGCACTTATTAAAAACTATTCTTAAAATTCTTCAAAAAAGTGCAATCCTCTTGACCCTGGGACTCCTGGAGCTGCTTATTTCGATTGGAGCTGGGAAAATTACGCACTCATTAAAAGCTATTTTTAAAATTCTTAGAACTAGTCTAAGGGGCTTATCTGGATTCTTATCTCGATTGGAACTAGGAAAATCCCATACACTTTAAAAACTTTTTTTACATTATTTAATTACTTTAAATTTGGCAATTAATGAAACAGGCTTACTTATTTGTACCTTCTATTTTTTAGTAAAATACATTTCTTTAATTATAAATTTTAAATATATACAAATTTATAAAATTCATATATATATTATTTTTCAGTGTGCAATTTATATTATATTTGCCATTAATATATAGCTTTGCTATCAGCTTGTTTTTCTCAGTTTCACTTAAAATGTTGCTGCAAACACTCGGCTTCACGATGCAGCTGCTGCTGCTGATTTCGCTGTTGCTGATGCTACCTCCTCCCGGAATTTCCAGTCCTACAGGGGGGGAGCTCTATAGGAACGACAGATACAACGGCAACTATTCTCCGTACCCGAGGAAACTGGAACGGAACTGAAGTGCATATCTAAACGTTTTCCAAGAAATACAATAAACCAGTGATTCGCTGGCTCATCTGCATTTCTGCCTAACTCACTCATGGATGGTTTTAGTTTGGTTTGGTTGCCACTTGGCCTTTGTGCGCTCAGCACACTGCCTGACCTTTGTCTGTGTCAAGGTGTCCCCAGGTGAAGGCAGTTAACCAGTCTGCGGCGAACACTCGGGCCAACACCTGACCTGCGAAGGTCGCTCGATGGCTTGCAGTCGCCGGCAGTCGCAATCGGCGAAATTCGCGAGAAAGCTTCGCCCAACCCTCGCTGAATAGTGGCTGCTTTCGGTCTTGCCTCTCCACATAGACTAAAATGTTAATGGGAGGCACCGGAAACGGAAGGTGGGCTATGGCTATGGTTATGGCTATGCGATGCGCCCAAGCAGCTCATGTGTGAGAAGTATTTTCATAGTCAAGGTAATCGTCATCCGCCTTTTCAGAGGTTTTCTTGGCCCCGCAGCTGGAATCGCTATTAATAAATGCAGCATAAATGTTTGTGCGGTTTGGAGTTCAAGGCTGTTGCATTTATGAATATTAAAGCCTGAGTGTCAGCTATTATTGATGGTTTGTGAAGGAGCAATCAGTTCAATGCCTAAGTAATCCCTTCTGAGAATTAAGCGAGGTATCTTGAGGTCGCCACCCTGGGCCATATCTTTCTGCATTTTAATTATGAAAGCGAGTTGTTGCTTTCACACAGGCACATTCATTCTTTTTTTTTTTGTTCTGTACCAAGGTCGTGTACATGAATTACATTCGCCATACACAGTGGGTGGAGTGAAAAAAAAATGTGCTAACGTTGGCAACAAAATTCGCCTTAGGGGATAGTCGAAAAAAAATGAAGGAGAAAAAAGGAAAATCGCGTCGGTCTGCTGTGGCTTTCCCACCCGCGCTCCCCTCCTCCCTTTTCCGTTATGCGAATCTGATTCAGTATGTGCCCCGAAGGCTTAACTCTTTCCCCAGCACTCGCACACACTGCTCATACTTGAATTAATTCATACTCTAATAAATATACAGAAAGTTCTGTTGAATGTCTGCCGCTGGCAGTGCTCGCTCTCGTTCTCGTTGTGTCAGCGTAATCTTTTAGCAGCCTTTTGATTTTGGTTTTGATCACCAGAATGACTCGCACAATATACCAATTAGCAGGGGGAGGGGGTGGGATAGAGTAGAGTGGAAATGTTAGCCAGCCGAATGGGGTCATAACTCAGTTAGCAACTGAATGGAAACAATGGATTGGCTGCCAGACAATGACAGAGAGTTCATGGACTCGTGCCGCTGCAAACTTTGTAAAGATGATTGGACGACAGCAATTTGCACTCAAGTTACCAACCAAGTTGCCGGCGGAAAGTTTTCCCTAATGCAGTTGCCTAATTGCACACGACCCTCTGTTCCCGTGAACTAATCAAGTTGGCAACCAATAAACTTCCCACCCCTTAAGAGCAGTGCAATTTTGCACAAAACAAACCTGAAACCTGGCCAGAAGCAAAAAGTCCTAGACATTCAACCGTAACGGAAAAGGCAAACAAAATGCACGAATTCCCCGAGCGGTTTTCCTTTTCATTTTCATTCTCGTTTCGAACAAAGTGCACTGCTGTTGGTCCCCCAGCTGGCCTTGTGGAATAAAAAATAAAATTCGTATTCATTATACTCACACATAAGCATAATTATGTCCTTTCATTTTCATTTTGCCCGCTTCATTAGCGACGCTCAGCCGCAGGTAGATTCGTCAACATAAATATTTATGCCGCGATGTGACAACGATGACGACAGCAGCGGCGACCACGAAGGATGTGAAGATTCCAATGATGATGACGATGATGATGATGTTGTTCCCCAGTTCCTGAGGACCTCTCTCACACACACACACGCACACAAAGGACAGCTTCCGTTTTTGGTTGGTTTGTGTGCTCGTCTATGGTTGATTTGTATTTATCTTTTTTTGATTTAGTACTCAGAAGAGGCTCGGGGTTTTTTCTTGTTTGCCTGCTAATTATGCGGGTCTCGCTTGTTTCGGTTGTTTAATTATTCGGAACAAAACGTAAGGTGAGAGTTGGCGATTTTAAGGACTTCACTTAACATTTAAATTGCTCTTTATACCAGTTTGTTTGCTAGATTTTTGTTTTGATTTCGGCTTTCAGTCTTCGGGGTTGGGTGTTTCGGGTTTTAAGTATTTTTTAGAATTTCAAGATATTATGCGCGGCGTTCTTTAAACGGTTCGGCAGACGCGTGGCGTCTTGAGCGTAACTATTGACAAACTGCTTCAATGTGGCCGTTCTGAAGTTGATTCCATCTACCAAAACCAGCTGATTTTCCTGTAGACTTTTCCCCGTCCGACGCAGGCGCCGCAAGACCTTCTCTTATACGCAAATTTTGGCAAGTCTACAAACTTAAGAGAAACCATTTTCGAACTCGAAAATCCAGCGCTCTTCGCTGCCTGTTGAGTTTTCGGGTTTTCAAAGCAATTATTTTTGGAAATTAGGCCCGAGGAAAATGGGAAAATCTGCTGTTCAGTCCACTGTTCTGCCTCAGTGCGTTTCCGCTAATGGATGCAAACAAAACGCAATGGCGGACAATGCAAGAGCCTCAGATCTCAGACCACTGGGCCCCCGATTTTAATATATCTAATGCACGTTCCAGGGCGGCTAATGCGCATTAGGCCTTTGTCCTGGTTATTGGCAGTTTCGATAGGTTCGCCCCCTTGCCGTCAATTTGATGGCCATTTCTATGCAGCGGCCGTAATGCGAAACATTCCGGAGTTCTCGAGTTGGTCAAACTGCTTAGGCGTTTGCCTTTTGACTTCCGCCTTTCCGACTCTAGGTCCTTTGGCCTTTTGTTAGTGGCTCGGACTTGGTCCTGGACTTTGGCCAGGATCAGGACCAGGACCAGAGGCAGTCCGGGGCATCGTAAATTAGCAGCGGTTTATTGCCAGTACGTGACATTTTGCTCCCGTTCCGGCGTCTGTATTTTCCTTGGCAATAATTACGGCCTTCATTTATTTGCCTGCTCGGGTTTTTCCTGGCTCTGTGGCCTGCGGCTTGAGGCATCACTGGTCTTGCCTGCCCACCGCATTTGTTCAACAATAAAACATTGATTGTTGCAATTGCTTGGTCATTGCGCATACGACGCGTGGGCCCATATTGGCTTTGCTTTCTTTCCTGTGTCATAGCAACCACAAAGAGTGCAATTTACTTCTATAACCGGAACTATCTTAATGTGCGCCCAACTAACTATCTTTGTGCACTTACGAGACCCTCGAGTTGCACACATTTAATATTTTTAAGCATCATACTAATGAGCCAGAAACTTTAACTGCAAACGCTACGTCCTTCGCAGCAGCCAGCACGTAAAACTCCCATTGTGTGGCTCCCTTTTCCTCGAATCGAGTTTATTCTTAGGAGCTGGGGAGCGTTAAGCATTTTCCAGTGCGTGACATGCGGCCCCTTCGAGCTGTATCAACACTCAGAGCAAAAAGGGGAAGCGTTGCAAAAAACTTTTAAATACTTTACACATTTAACAGAAAAATGTTTGAACAATTAATCGGAAAATAATTACCTATTGAATTAGTTTTAAATGATTTTAAATCAATAATAATTATTATTTAATTGCACAAATGCCTATGTTATAAATTCATATGATAGAAATGCCAATGAATTAAATGCCTGTTAATTGGTACTCAAAACAACGTAAATGTTATAATTTTATTTAAAAACCCTTCATAAAGGTTTTTTTTTTTCATTTTTAAAAGTGTTTTTTTTTTTTTTTTTTAAAAAAATTTTTTTAAATTTCCAAAAAAAAAACCATAAATTTATTTTTATTATTTGAATTTATCAACCCTGTTTAGTACATAATTCCCTGTGTCTATGCTGGTATAATTTTTAAGCTCTGTACATTTGTTTTTTTTAATGTCATTTTTTATCAGTGCAGCAACATCAGCAGGATACTGCAAGGACACATTTCCAGATGCAGTAAGGAAGGTTGTTGACTTGGCTCAATGCGTGTGTCATTGTTTCAAATGGCTAAAAGTTAAGCGAAAATCTCAAATAATTTGCCATTATAAATGGCACCGAGATAAGCAGCAGCAGCAAAAGCAGTAAGTTCCGAATTGGGGAGGAACCGAAGAGCGAATAAAGTTTGACAGCATCATCACTTCATCGAGGTTTCGACTTTTATGTGCGAGTGCAATAAACTTGCTCCGTCACCATGCATAACATAATAATTATAATAAAAACAATTTTTTCGCATTTTACGAGGCGCATAAAATTGTAGCATATTCTCAGGCAGACAAGCTGACCAGAAAGCAGAAGTAGAGCGAGGAGAAAGGAATTTACTGATGAATTGCGGTTTAGTTTTATGAGATGCTCCGACAAGAAACCCGATATATGTGTAAGAGTGTGTGCGTATCCAAGGGCTGTGTGTGAGTATCTGTGTGCGGCAGTTCTTGAGCCGTCAATATGAGACAGTTTTATGAGCAGCCGGGAACAAAGTCGCGGTGCTATGTCAACATTTTATGCGCCTTTAATGCTTTGTTTTGTTAATAAAATCAACAACAGTCGAGACGTTGGCTTCGTTACGACAGCGACTCACTCCTCCCCGTCGCTTCGTTTTATATAATTTTAATGTGCGCACTTTGACACTTTTAATGAATCCCAAACATTAATTTTCTTAATGAGCGCGCTCATTTAAAGCCTAGGTCCTAAGGCAAAGCATCCCGTTGACAAATGCCCGGCAGGCCATTATTAAACGAAGTCCACTGCAATGACAGTGAGGATGAGAACGAGAATATAGAACGTGAATGACAATGGGCCATTGGCAATTTCCTCTCCAGCTTAATGAAGTTTGAACAAAAAGCCATTGGCCCCGGCACCGACACCCGGGGGCAGCACAAACATACACACATGACTGACACTGTCCGGCTTAATGAGCCGCACTAAATTCACACGAAACTTTCCGGCCAAAAAGGGATCTCTCTCGCCTGCTTTTTTCCCCGAACAGGAGCGTGTGGCAACTATTTATCGCCGCTACCGGACAAATGTTCTACACTCGGTCGACTGGCAGGAATTTATTGACACACTCAATCGAACGCTTTGATCGTAATCCCTTTTCCCGAACCGAAAAACTTCGCCCCCCGCCAAGCATCAGCCGCCCCTCGGAAAAGTTAAGTCAAGTTTTCCTCCATTTGTTTGTTTGTTGTTCTTCGTTTTGGGCTTTGTTGCCCAAAAGTTGCGGTCAGACTTTTGGGGGTCAAGTGAAAATGTTATTTACTTTCATTTAGATTGTTTATGTTGCTCTGCCAGCGAAACTAAAACTTATGGCTATCTATTCATTGGGTGATATATCATTGATCTCGTTGAAGAAATCCTCGTCGAGGGAGAGCTTACTCTCTGGTGGAGCTGAAGGTTCGGGGATCTCGTGGATAGAGAAAATTCCGGAAGGAAGACTTTCCTCTACGGGGGCAGTGGCTTCAAAGCGGGGAGTTGTCTTATCCTCGAGATCAGCTAGTTTTGGCATGGCTTTGCGATTAAGTTCCTCCATTCCAAGAACGTTTTCTATGTGATGACCTTCACTCTTCTCAAAAACATTTTCCCCATCCGTCTGGACAGCTTTTTTGACTGCCTCTGGATCGAATTTGCAATCATTCACCATTTCGCCTTCGGGAAACGATCTATCTGGCTCAAAACGCAGGCCACACATTACATAGATCATGGCCAACATCGAAAGACCAATGTAAACTGCAACAACAAAATTAAAGCTTATTTTAGTTTTAGTTAAATTGCACTCACCATCGATTATAATGTTGGACACCTTGTACAACTCGCTTTTGACCAACCAAAACTCATCTTCATGGAAATAGATGTGGTGCAGGCGGAATATTAAAAGGGCACCTGTCTCGCACATCCAGTAGAAGACCGCAGCACTCTCCCTTTTCACTATTCTCATCATGGTGATCACATTGAACATGACGTTGAAACCGTACAACAGGACCCACTTGACGGGATAATCTGCGGGATTAGTAGTTTCATCAGTTAATTCCGGACCGAAGCGAAATGCCCGTACTCACTGCCGGCGGACTTGATGAGCTCCACCATCCAGAATTGGAAGAGGAAAAAGGAGTAGACGACATTCATGCAACCGATGGCCAAGCCCCAATCCGCCCTGTTTATAAGGCACTGGCACATCATAAACTTCACATAAGCTGCGTCCATTCCATCCAAATGCCACAAATTGACTGGCTGTCGGAACAAAAACTTGTGCTGGCATTAAAAGTTTCCCGGGATTCTGTTATCGCTCACTGAAAAATGCATAATTGGGTTGAAATTTCCATCTGTATACATGCATGCAAATTAGAGTGGACTTGAAATTTCGAGTAAACTGATTTAGGTAAAGGTAAATTGAAATGTCATTTATAAATGAAATGAAATGAAATGAAATTTTCCTCAAAAATAAATAACTTTCTATTTTATTTTCTTAATTTGATAAACTGAAATGAGTTAACTTGAACCTATTTTATTCTGACTTTGTCCTAAGATTAAAAGTTATTTTTGTAGGTTACTTTTATATTTATTTGTTTATTTCAAAAGTCTGTAATATTGTGACTTAAATTTTCTACTTTAAAGTGCACCGAAAGCGCCTCATTTGCCCCAAAACCCAGCCATATAAGTTTCGCTTTCAGAGGGTCTGCTTGTTGTGAAATCAAAAATTAAAGCTGCAAAATTTTGTGCCAGAGCAAGGAAAGTTCATTTGCGCTCTTTGTGTTTACTTAATCCATAAACTGGTTGTGGTAGTGGTGCGTGTGTGTGTGAGGGGTGTGTGGAAAAATGGGATTTCCCCCTTTGGGGCACTTGAAGCCAACGTGACAACATAAAACGCAGCAGCTTCGCCTTTTTATGTGCCAGCCAAGGCAACAGCAACAACAACAACTGGTTGGGAATATTAGAGAGTACGATATGAAAATGCAAACCGCAGTAACCACCAAGAGTCCTATATAGATGTTTCTGTTTATGTTGCTGCGGCTGCATCAGTGTGTGTTCGTGTGCACATGTGTGTGCGCAGTGAAGAGTTGAGTTGAGTTCAGTTTAGTTAACTGCAACAGCAGCATCGTACGTTGTTGATTGCTCTGGTGCTGCTAGCTGGTTGCAGTTTTTGGCCCAAACCAATGAACCACATGATACGGCTCACCCACACACCCACAAGGCGTACACACTCACACCCACACGCACGCAGCGTTCAAGTAAGCGTGTAAATTATTTGAATTATTTATGAGCGGCAGCAACAGCCGAAATATGCAAAATCCTTAAAGCCTGGAGTCCTGTGAAATGGCAACTGTAAACTATGCACTTACTCAGCGCCAAAATCAAAATCTCTCAAAGCGATACATTGCACTGAGGGAAATTGGCTATCTAATCGGAACATTTTCAAATCGAAATTGGAAAATTAATTAATTAAATTTAGAGATATATGTTTAGTAATTGTTGTACCCCTTAATAATGGAGTAGAAATGTGTCTGGCCGGTGAAGAAATCAGGATTGGGACCTCCGCCTGTAATTTTATTTAATGGATTCGAATCTAGAGTTATCAAGAACTTGAAGACCTAAAGAGTAGTAGTAATGGAATAGAATTTTTTTTTTAATTTTTTAAAAATAGGTAATAATAATTATAAAATATATGTTAATTAATCCATTCAATCATCACTAATTTATACTTTGCTTAATTTTTTTAAGAATTTTGGAAAGAAATTTATATATTTTAAACCAGTAAATGTTCCTCAAAAACGTATTTTCTGTGTGTAGAATCACAAATAAACATTTCGAAACATTTCGGAGGGTCCGTGGTCCGTGGAGCGGACTTCAATTCCCCGGGCGCTGCTTAAACGGCCGACGACGTTCGAGGGGCCCAGCGATTTGATAAATGTGACGCAATTGAAGTTTGTCGGGCAAAGTTGTTCGGTCAGCTAACTGTAAATGTTAATTCCCAGCTGAGAAATTTATTAATAGCCCCGGCCCAGGCGAGAGCTAAAACAAAGCAAAAGTAATCTGGTAAATAGGGGCAAGCAAACGGATCTGGTCGGTGGTCATGGAAAAGTAAATAGAACAAATTTAAGTTTGTAATGCAAAAAATTCAACTTGATGTGCTGAGCGGGAATGCATGGGTATTGCTAAATGAATTTTTCCAGTCAAGAAATGATTACACAATTCCCCAGGGGTGAGCTGAAAATGCTTGATTTGAACGGGGGAGCGACATTCTGTTTAACTTACACTCATATCACGCATACGACCCCAGCGACTTATGGCCGCAATAAGTAGAAGTATATTCCACTTTGCGGGTGGGATGAGTGGTGGGGTGGCTTTTTTTGGATGGTTACGTATATGGCAATATGGCTGCCAATTGCACGCACTTTTGTCGTTCAATTTCAGTCGGAAAACTCTTGTTTTCCCCCTATGGAGGGGTTTTCTTTTTTTTCTGTTAGGCTTTTGCTAAGTAGCTCAGCGGTTTCGGTGATGGGAGGTCTGCTTTTCAGTCCAATAACCCCCGTTTGAGCCACGTGTGTTTGTGCGTGCGGCTATGTAATAATTTGGTCTATTTGTTGCCTCCCATTGGGTTTATTGAATTTGGCATTTGCATGTTAGACGAGTCATGTCGCGCATGTGAGCCTCCTCCCTCGGCAGCATCAGTGGCCTAGCTGCTCGGCTGAAAGCTTTTCAATTATCCGGCAGTAAATATTGCAAATGAAGTTGTTTATTGTGCATGATGTTATGCCAATTGAATTTGCAGCTTAGGCTTGAGGAATGGCTGGTGTGTCAGTGTGGCAAAGACAATTAAAAAGCGTATGATGGATTTTTCGGTGGCGGGAAAGCTAAGGCATGACCTTGAAAACTGTCGTCGGTGTCGTTGTGGGTCCTTCTGCGTTTCAACTTGATTTATGCGAACGGAGGAGCAGGCTGGGGCAACAAACAAAAGCGACCGCTAAACAAAATGAGGGGCTCGGGCCCGCCAAAGTGCAAAAGCGAATTAATTATGCACATTAACTTTTGCCGCCTAATGCGCTGCCAACTCACCAACTGAGGTGAGAGCGACTGATTCGAATTCAGCGGCGGATGGGGATGCGGATCCGGATCCGGATCCTTGCTGACCCAAGTCCAAGTCCAAGGCCTCGTTGAGTGCGCGAATGACTTTGAAAAATGGCAGTCGGCGAAAGCTGCTTAATTAGTGCGTAATTTGTAAGTTGAAGAAAAGAAGAGAAGAGCAGTGAAGCTCAGCTAAGTGGAAAAGGCCAAACAATGGGAGAGGTAAATATTAATTACTCGCCGGCCGCAGTGAAATGAAATGACTCCTCCTGTGGGCCATCTATCAATGTGGCTATCAATCAGGCCAAACAAAAAACCTTAAAAAAATTGAAGGTAGGTGTGTATACATAAATCCTCCCCCGATTAAGCCTGCCTTTAGCCCATGTTGATTCGGTATAAACCTTGTTTATTTTCCATTTGCACCCTTTTGAGCCTGCTGCACATTGTATGTACATGTTGTTATTTTTTTATCTCTCGGAAGTTTGCGGCCCTCCGTTTATGTTTGTTTAGGCTGCGGTCTTGTGGCCACTTTGCTGACTGCTGACCGATTGCCTTGGGCCGGCTTTTATGGCCAGGTGTCAATTAGCCGCTCCAATTTGTGATTAATTTGGCCAGATGTTGTCTCTTACGCCTGCCAAAATCCGATTTTTGCGGTTTTCATATGTGAAATGGCCGTAAATTACAGTGAGGTTGGACAGACTGCTGCCTGCTTTAATTTCCGTTGAACTTGCACAATTCTGGCCAGCATGCCCAGCCAAATTGTATGCCACAGGGCCCCTTCTTTTCAGCCATTTCCTCCTGGCCCACAAAAAGTTGAATTATGCGCAGAAAAACGCCTGCCGGTCTCCACCTCTTTTTACCTCTTTCCACTCCTGTGGCTACCGTTCTCCCGAGCACTTTAAGGTCGTTCAGTTAAATGCAATGAAATTATTCCTCCACTGCGGTCCTCCATTGAAATGTTAATTAATGCCCTGGCAGCGGCAGCGGCAACGGCAATGGCAGCAACATCAACAAAAGCATAAGGAGGAACCTTGGCCAGGAATCGAGTTCCATTATGGCCATGTCGCTGGTCACCTTTCGAGCATCGCGGCATTTTGGGTTGATGTTGCTGCTGATGCTGATGCAGGTCCTGGTCTGATGCACTCTGCGGAGCAGTAGAATAATTCCTTCGCTTTCAGCGCAGCGGGGCAGCAACAATTTCCGCGGTTCCTGCGTTCCAATCCAATCCCCCATCGCCATCTTCATCAGCACGTTTAACGTTTAACGGGTTAAAAACAGAGCATGCCTTTTGCTCCAGAGCTTCACCCGAACAATTTTCAGCCGTGCTATTCCCTTTTTCGGGGGGTACTTGAGCTTAACCAGTCACCGCTTCAATTTTCGATCAGAATCTTTGAAAGTAAACCAATTTTGGTAATTGGGTTGATTAATTGATACATTTACACACAAAAAAAACTTCAATTTGATATTATGTGGTATCAATTTTGACTTGATATGCAGTATCTCAATTTGAATTGCTCGAAATGTAGGCAAGCGCTATTAGAGAATGTGTGTTTGCACCCACTTTAAGTCGTCATACTGTCTTTTTCGAAGTCAGCGAATTTCCGAGAGAGAAAATTCGGTAAAATTATATTAGTTATTAACAATTTTACCAATATTTGCATGGTAAAAACGATATGCGTTTTTTTTTGTGTGCAGTATAGAAATTAACAATTTTACCAATATTGCATGGTAAAAACGATACGCGTTTTTTTTGTGTGTAGTATAGAAATTAACAATTTTACCAATATTGCATGGTAAAAACGATATGCGTTTTTTTTTGTGTGTAGTATAGAAATGAACATTTAATAAAATGGCAATGCGACATTTTTAAAACTCTGTTATATAACTGTGTGTGCTAACAATTTTCAGATGCACATAATAGTATAGGGTAATTGGGGTTCGGTTTCCTAGGCCTCTTATCCTTTCTTACTCGTGCGTTTTTCTTTCCACTTTTTTTTGGCGTCGCTGGACTTTAACAAGCGGCTCGTTAACGGCGACCGCGCAATTACCATCGAAACGCTTTAAATTTTAAGTGCTGCCCGAGTATGTGCTCTGCGTTTGGGTTTTGGCCGTGTGTCGCACCTGCTGGTTGGCAGTGGCAG